GGTGGTTTGGAGTGACTGATGTCAGGTAGTTGTTAATACTAATTGTATCATTGTCAGTACTAATTTGATGGCAGGAATAATAATAAGAAAAAAAGGAAAACAATGAAAGAATCGTCAAAGTAAAAGTATGCGCTATGGCAGTGTGGCAAGCTAGCGTTCATCTCTTTAAAAAAGGGTGAAGAAATCAGGGGCCTTTGAAGGGTCATATTAGGTCATCGTAATTTAATTGAAATATAGAATAGATTTTCAGTGATCCGATATATTCTCATATTATTATTAAAGACTTTTCAATAGAAACCGACTCTTTCATTTTTTTAAAGTGCTGTTCTGAGCCACCGAATATGTATGCAGTGGTTCTAAAAAAATTAATAGAAAGTTTAATCCCTCAGGTACCTTCTAAATTTGTCATTTCTTGTTAATAGTCATTGCGAATTTTGTGCACTGCAGTTCAACTGTCCAGCGTTAGCATGTTCAGAATAACATACATGTACAAGTATTATTGTCTCTTCCTCACTACAGCACTGTTGATATTCAATGAGCGTCATTCCGTGAGAAGATAACTCAACATGAACAATTATGTGATTATGTGAAAATGGAATGTGGACAAGGTGCGACCCAAGACGTGTTTTTTTAAATGATGCGTGTCCTGAATGATATACCATTGACATAAGTTTAAGAAAATAACGAAAACAGAGACTGAGATGGACTGGGAAAGACGTGGTAGGGAGGAAAGGGGGGCAAGAAGGCCATTGTTACATGTATTTCGTTTTGTTTTGTTTATACACCACACAGTTACCATTACGTAAAAGAAGGATACCCTAGAAACTGTATGCAGCCCCTGTGGTTCAACGTTTTGACATAGAGGTCAGACAACATTATTTAAAGAAGTTGTGCAACAATCAAATACACGAACAACCAAAGCTAAATAGCAAAATAAGTAAATCCCACAGCTCATTAAAGCCCAATTGAAGACTCTTTGTCATGGCTTTCAAGTAAATAAACTATTATCAAAGTGTTACACATACAACTTCATCCCGCCCCCCTCCCATCTTTAGGTGTAGTAGTTGGCCAAGTTTGCAAAAATTATCTGCGTTTGTTGCCACGACAAAGTATCTTCCTAGTAATAGTGTAAAGGCAAGAGAGAATGAGTGAACGAGGGAGGACAAACTTTAAAGCTGCCAAACTAACACAGAAGCAAAGCCACATCACCAAGCTAAACATTCACAGTCAACTCAATGAAACATCGCTTACCCCTTTACCAGAAACATCCTTTAGGAAATCAATAACGTACAAGGGTTGAAATGCAAAAGGAACATTTAAAAATACATTCGTTTCAGAGTATAAGTTGGTATAGAAATGCATGGGACGATTCCTTCTCACCACATACCTGGTTTTGGTTACAAATTCATGCCACATGTTAAGTTATATTTGCTTCAACTAACAGACTTAGAAACTATCTTTTTTTCACAAAGATGATTCTCTGAGATGTCGTAATACTCTGTACACAAATCTCCGAACGATACGCTAACAAATAATATTTTTTTAATAGAAATACTTCCAGTTTGTTTTTCTTCATTCCCAGAAAAAAAGATAAAGTAAACAGAAGGAACAAAAAGGGAGTTGGGGACATGCAACTTAAAAGGTGAACTGAAGCAGAAGTAATGTCTAAGGTTATGTGAGAGATGATAGTTTGGTGTACGGGGAAAGAATGGGATACTCGATAAAAACGTTTCTCCCCCTCAGAAATCGAACTCAGGCCTCCTGCGCGCGACAGCGAAGCACCTAACGACTACACCACAGACGCCGGTTCATTATGTCTTCAAAAGATATAGGTTGTGATAATGTAGAGGCAACCAGAGAAATCACGTTAGTTTTCGATAGGGTTAATATTAACACCTTTGATTTGAAAACCGGAGGCTCTCCTTTGCGATACTTTAATAATATCCTAACAGATTAGAGCAAAAAAGTCAATCCAAAAAAATTCTTGAAGAGCTACTAACAAGCTGCTTGCGAGAGGCCCACAGTCCTCTTTGCTTAAATCTGTCTTATAACAGACAAAATACGGCCCATATTTTCCAAAGATCAGCCTGTGCTAATCACACTTTTTTAAAGTTCATGCGAGTTTCCCGTTTCCCTCAAGATATCAATACAGAAGATCATCGGAATCATTGAACAGAAAGGAGATACAGATACGCTATAGTACTAATATTTATGACTAAAATAAAGGCATTATTTTTATGCAACTGAACTACCATGCATATCAAGGGTGAAACATGCAACCCAAGCAGTAATCAACTATACCGACGTACAAATTACACATAATTTTGCTTAATTAAATAAGGATACAATGTGCAATAAGGATTCATTATATTTCCTTCTACAATTTAAAGAACTTTCCTTCACCGCAGTTTCTGGAATTGTTTTCGTAAGTGTGTGACTTTTTTGTATTTGCAAGTGTGTCTGCAGTGGGGGCTACATTTAAGTGCCTGTGTTTGTTTGTTTGTTTGTTTGTTTGTTTGTTTGTTTTTTTGTTTCGAAGGGAAAATGTGTTTCTGAGCAAGATCTTATGTTACACGAGTACACACTATATAATACATTACCTGGTCCGGGGAGAGAGAAACAGACAGACACAGAGAGAGAGAGAGA